GGCAAAGTAATGTCTCTGCTTTTTAATATGCTGTCTAGGTTGGTCATAGCTTCTCTCATATGAGCAAGCATCTTTTAATTTCATGGCTGCAGTCACCATCTGCAGTGATTTTGGAGCCCAAAAATATAAATTCTGTCACTGTTTCCACTGTTTCTCCATCTAATTGCATGAAGAGATGGGACCCAATGCCATGATCTTAGTTTTCTGAATGTTGAGTTTCAAGCCAGCTTTTTCAGTCTCCTCTTTCACTTTCATTGAGAGGCTCCTTAGTCCTTCACTTTCTGCCATAAGGGTGTTGTCATCTGCATAGCTGAGGTTATTGATAGTTCTCCTGGCAATCTTGATTCCAGAAGACTCCAGTGCTTCATCCAGCCCAGCATTTTGTGTGGTGTAGTCTGCATATAAGTTAAATAAGCAAGGTGATAATATATAGCTTGATGTACTCCTTTCCTGATTTGGAACCAGTCTGTTGTTCCATGTTCAGTTCTAACTGTTCCTTCTTGACCTGCATACAGATTTCTCAGGATGCAGGTAAGGTGGTCTGATAGTCCCATCACTTGAAGAATTTTCCATAGTTTGTTGTGATCCATACAGTCAAAGGCTTTGGCATAGTCAATAAAGCAGAAGTAGATTTTTTTTGGATTTCTCTTCCTTCTTTGATGATCCATCGAATGTTGGCAATTTGATCTCTGGTTCCTCTGCTTTTTCTAAATCCAGCTTGAACATCTGGATGTTCATGGCTCATGTACTGCTGAAGCCTGACTTGGAGAATTTTGAACATTATTTTGCTAGCATGTGAGATGAGTGCAATCATGTTGTAGTTTGAACATTCTTTGGCATTGCTTTGTTTGGAATTGGGGTGAAAACTGACCTTTTCCAGTCCTGTGGCCACTGCTGGGTTTTCCAAATTTGCTGACGTATTGAGTGCAGCACTTTCACAGCATCGTCTTTTAGGATTTGAAATAGCTCACTTGGAATTCCATCACCTCCACTCACTTTGTTCGTAGTGATGTTTCCTAAGGCCCACTTGAGTTCACATTCTGGATGTCTGGCTCTAGGTGATGATCACACCATCATGATTATCTGGGTCATTAAGATCTTTTTTGTATAGTTCTTCAGTGTATTCTTGCCACCTCTTCTTAATATCTTCTGCTTCTATTAGCTTCATACCATTTCTGTCCTTTGTATGCCCATTTTTGCATGAAATGTTCCCTTGGTATCATTAACTTTCTTGAAAATATCTCTAGTATTCCCCATTCTATTGTTTTCCTGTATTCACACTGATCACCAAGGAAGGCTTTCTTATCTCTCCTTGCTATTTTTTGGCACTCTGCATTCAAATTTGTATATCTTTCCTTTTCTCCTCGGTCTTTAGCTTCTCTTCTTTTCTCAACTATTTGTAAGGCCTCCTCAGACAGCCATTTTGCCTTTTTGCATTTCTTTTTCTTGGGGATGGTCTTGATCACGGCCTCCTGTACAATGTCATGAACCTTTGTCCATTGTTCTTCAGGCATTCTGTCTATCAGATCTTATCCCTTGAATCTATTTCTCACTTCCACCGTATAATTGTAAGTGATTTGATTTAGCTAATACCTGAATGGTCTAGTGGTTTTTCCTACTGTTTTCAATTTAAGTCTGAATTTGGCAATAAAGAGTTCATGATCTGAGCCACAGTCAGCTCCCAGTCTTGTTTTTGCTGACTGTATAGAGCTTCTCCATCTTTGGCTGCAAAGATTATAATCAATCTGATTTCGGTGTTGACCATCTGGTGATGTCCATGTGTAGAGTCTTCTCTTGTGTTGTTGGAAGAGGGTGTTTGCTATGACCAGTGCGTTCTCTTGGCAAAACTCTATTAGCCTTTGCCCTGCCCCATTTTGTACTCCAAGGCCAAACTTGCCTGTTACTCCAGGTATCTCTTGACTTCCTACTTTTCCACTTCAGTCCCCTATAATGAAAAGGACACCTTTTTGGGGTGTTAGTTCTAGAAGGTCTTGTAGGTCTTCATAGAACCATGCAACTTCAGCTTCCTCACCATTACTGGTTGGGGCATAGACTTGGATTACTGTGAAATTGAATGGTTTGCCTTGGAAACTATTCAAGGCAAGGAAACAGAGACCATTCTGTCATTTTTGAGATTACACCAAAGTACTGCCTTTCAGACTCTTGTTGACTATGATGGCTACTCCATTTCTTTTAATGGATTCTTGCACACAGTAATATTTATAATGTTCATCTGAGTTAAATTTGCCCATTCCAGTCCATTTTGTTTCTGTGATTCCTAAAATGTCGATGTTCACTCTTGCCATTTCCTGTTTGACTACATCCTATTTAACTTGATTCATGGACCTAACATTCCAGGTTCCTGCGCAGTATTATTCTTTACCTTATCGGACTTCACTTCTACCATCAGTCCCATCCACAACTGCATGACATTTTCGCTTTGGCTCCATCCCTTCATTCTTTCTGGAGTTCTTTCTCCACTGATCTCCAGTAGCATACTGGGTACCTACCGACCTAGGTAGTTCATCCTTCAGTGTTCTATCTTTTTGCCTTTTCCTACTGCCAGTGGGGTTCTCAAGGCAAGAATAATGAAGTGGTTTGCCATTCCCTTCTCCAGTGTACCACATTCTGTCAGAACTCTCCACCATGACCCGTCCGTCTTGGCTGGCCCTACACGGCATGGCTCATAGTTTCATTGATTTAGACAAGGCTGTGGTCCATGTAATCAGTTGGATTAGTTTTCTGTGATTGTGATTTTCATTCTGTCTGCCCTCTGATGGAGAAGGATAAGAGGCTTATGGAAGCTTCCTGATGGGAGAGACTGACTGAGGGGGAAACTGGGTCTTGTTCTGTTGGGCTGGACTATGCTCAGTAAATATTTAATCGAATTTTCTGTTGATGGGAGGCGCTGTGTTCCCTCCCTGTTGTTTGACCAAAGGCCAAACTATTGTGGAGGTAATGAAGATAATGGAAATTCCTTCAAAAGATTCCATGCAAGCACTGAGGCACTCAATGCCCCCAACACTGCAGCAGGCACGGCCAACCCATGCCTCCACCAGAGACTCCTGGACACTCATGGGTAAGTCTGGGTCAGTATCTTATGGAGTCATTGCTCCCACAGTGCTCCCATCAAGGTTATATGTCATTTTTAGACATATTCTGTGGCACATTTAGCAGACTACAGTATGGTATATATGTAACTTTTATATGCACTGGGAAACCAAAAATTTGGGTGTCTTTCTTTATTGTGGTATTTGCTTGTAGGAGTATGGCACAGAACATGAAAGTTCTCCGAGGTGAGCCTACATTTGTATTTTATACATACATGTATATACAGACTTCCCTGGTGGCTCAGAGGGTAAAGCGTCTGCCTACAATGTGGGAGACCCGCGTTCAATCCCTGGGTCAGGAAGATCTCATGGAGAAGGAAATGGCAACCCATTCCAGTATTCTTGACTGGAAAATCCCACGGACAGAAGAGCCTGGCAGGCTACAGTCCAAGGGGTCGCAAAGAGTTGGACACTACTGAGCTCCTTCACTTTCACTTTCTCTCTCTCTATATATATGCATATATATATATATGTATATATATATATATAATATGTTCTTTTCTCTCTGTCTCATTTCAAAGATTTAAGTTAGAATAATATCTGAATCTGTTTTTCTGATGGCCAAATTTAAAGGACTATCTAGCCATGACAAAATCAAGGGATGGTTTTAATTTCTGGAATATGCCCTTTCCTGAAGATGGTTATTAACCAGTCATAGTTGGCAGAGATAGAAAATAGAATGTATATTCATGGAAACTACTACAACAATCTGTAGATTTCATGGGGCTACCAGAATCCTGCTATGAAAGCCCTAATGCTTGGTTCTGAAAGAATATGCAGTAAAAAATCACATGACTTCAATGGAAGAACACCTCATTGATATCACTTGGTCATCATTCAAACCAACTTTTAGTTTTTTGTAAATGTCTCTGGGAGTAAATGTCTCTGTTCTGTGCAAATGTTTTGTTCAAACTCTCCTGAAATATGACCCTAGCCTTAATTATGATTTCAAAGTTTTATTGTTTTAGTTCTCAGTAAGCAAAATGTGTCAGTAATTTGGATTCTGAAACCATAACTAAAAGGTCATTACAAGAGATATTGTTTATTCCTCACTAAGGGGTACTGTGTCCATACCAAGAGTTGGCTTTGGACCATGATCACACCACCCATGAGCGGAAACTGCAGTCTTGGAACCAACATATTGTATTTTGTGCATTTGAACAGAACTCTTGACTATAGCTCTCTGCTCAGCTGAGTTTTCAGATACTATCAGAGGTATACTGTTTGAAAGAGCATGGGTTAGGGCTTCAACTTGTGAGAAAACTCTCAAGCTAAATTAATTATATTTCCGGAAAAAATGGAACAAAAGAAAAAAAAAAAACAAGGTTCTGTGGGATCTTGAATTATTGCTTGGGAATTCTTAGCTGATAGTAGAGTGTCAAAGAAGGAAATGCTATCACTGATAACTAATCCTTACTGAGGACCTTACTGAAGTACAGCTATGACTTAATGCAAAATGTAGGGCTGAAAATACAAGATGTAGAAGGTCTGACCCATACTTCAAGGATTTTACAACCAGTGAGGAAATGAATTACCTTACTTTTGAGCAAAATAGGAATGAAATGTATCTTTTTCCTATTGTTCTAGTAGATTATCTGGAGCTGGGACAGTAATCTGGGCTAAAGACATGTATTTTAAAGTCCTTGCTTTTGTGACTTTTGTTGGGAACCCCAGGTGAAATAAAGGGTTACACTCAAGAACTGTGAGAGGTCAAGGGTTTTATTCTGCTTGAAAGTTAGCAAACCTGCCTGCCACCATTTCTTAGGTGCTGGCAGAAGACGCTTGGCATCTGGTTAGAACCGAAACAGGAAAGCCAGAGGTTCTTGTCTGTTTCTGCCAGCTTGCCAAGCCACTCAGATCTCAAGAAGCAATGCAGGCGGCCCACGATGGATGCTGGCACACACAGCCGGTCGCGCTGAGAAGAGTAACCCCGAGACTGAGCGATCCACTGCTTGCATCAAAAGGGAAGTCAGCGTGCTCTTTGTCTCTCATCCTTCAGAACCTCTCACTGAAAACACCATCCGAAGAAATCCCCAGGGGAACAAGAGGACCGCGCTGTCTGCGCTTGACGTCCTTGGTAAGAATGCACGGGGCCCCCCGCAGCAGATGGATCCTCTTTCAGAGCAGTCACCAGGGAGAAGTTGCATGGGGAAAATAAACGGCCAGGAGTAAACTGTAAGAAACACCAATATTTTAAAATAGTTGAAAGAGACCAGAAAGGAATAATAAAAGGACAGGAGAGAAGTCAGAAGAAAATAATATAATCACAGATAAGGACGAAACGAGGGCTTCCCAGGTGGCACTAGTGTTAAAGATCCCGTCTGCCAGGGCAGGAGACTTAGGAGACGTGGGTGCGATCCCTGGGTCAGGAAGACCCCCTGGAGGAGGGGATGGCAACTACTCTAGTCTTACCTGGGGAATCTCATGGATGGAGGAACATGAGGGGCTACCGTCCATGGGGTTGCAAAGCTTCGAGCACAACCAAAGCAACTGAGTGTGCACACACACCGCTTTTACAGTGTATTGATTTTGTTACAGTATTGTTTCTCCTTGTGTTTTGGTTTTTTGGCCATGAGGCATGTGGGATCTTAGCCCCCCAACCAGGAATGAGACCCCTACCTCCTGCGCTGGAAAGTGAACGCTTAACCACTGGGCCACCAGAGAAGTCCCTACCAGATATTTTTTTCTTAGAGCGGCAAGTTCAATGCCTTTGTTCGTTATTAAAAATAAATAAATAAACAGAGCTTTTCTGTCAATCTTTCGTGAAAATGGTGTCTTGTGAAATAAAAGAGCTAGTTTGGCTTGCAATTCAGACAATTATACAAGCTAGGGAGCAATCATCATACTCTGATATGCAGCAGTAATGCTTTGTAAATGCCTCCCTCTCATCACTGAGTAGATTACAACAGCATTACCAGACAGTTAAGATTTAACAAAAGTCGTAATTTCTATGTTTCACTTAGGAAAGTCTTGAATACATTTTCTCATTATGTTTTCCTTACACGTTCCTGACTGTGAAGAAATCCATGGCTACCGGTGGTTTAGGGTCACTCCGTTGATCTGCACCAAGAAGCCAGAAGTTTTACCCAAGCTGCTTTACAAGGTGGACACATACACCAACGCCGTCAGAAAGACAAATAACTGCTCAGTACTATTAGGAAAATAATTTGCCTATTACAATGAAGGGCCACAAGGGGACCGCAAGAGCCTGAACACTGTGTTTTCAGAGCTACTACTTTAGAAGATAAAGACTGGGCCTCTTCTTTCCCTGGATTACTGATCTGTTTCTTGGTTTGCTTTTTATATTTAACTTCTCTGTTTTCGTCCTCTCCCTCTGTGCATGTTTCCATGTGTTCACGCACATGCATATGGGAATTCTACCAGTAACAATTTGGAGTCTAATGAAAAATTGAAGAAATGCTTCATTTTCTCATCACAGAATATTTCCAGGAATATCATCGTATCTTTTTCAGTAACTTTTTCAGCTTTATATTAGTAGAGTAATTTTTTAAAAAACATTTGTGTTAAGATTTCATATTTTAGAGGAGTTGTGTGTTCACAGCAAAACTGAGGTAAAGGTACAGAGATTCCCCCGACAAATGCATAGCATTCCCCCCCCCAAACCATTCTCAACTTCCTCCATCAAATACTACATTTGTTACAAGTAATGCACTTATCCTGAGGTAACAACATCACCAAAAGTCCACAGCTTGTATTGACGGTTTTCTTTTCAGGTCCCAAGAAGCTGTGACTCTCTCTGTTTACCTTTCTCTCCAATCTTGGAGGCAGCGGCTTCTCCTGTGTCATCTCTTTTTTTAATAGTTTTTTTTTAAATGTTAATTTTTCCATCTGTTCATCTTTTCATATGTTGTTGAGAAGGAATAGTGAATTTCAATCTCTTTACATGTCAAACTGGAAAGCAGAAGTCTTTAATTGAGCATTTTTGTGTATATTTCTCCTTTGCTTTAGAAAAAAAAAAATCTCCTAAAAATAGTCTGTAAGTTTGTGATTACACTGAAAATAGTCTCCAAGTCTATGTCTACAACTATCTTCCCTGTATTTAATAATCTACTTAAAAGTATTATAGAAATTTTACCCAGGCATATCATCAAGGGCTTCATCAGTGGCTCAGATGGCAAAGAATCCATCTGCCAATGCAGGAGAAATGGATTTGATCCCTACGTTGGGAAGATCCCCGGGAGAAGCAAATGGCAAACCATTCCAGTATCCTTGCCTTGAAAATACCATGAACAGGGGAGCCTGGTGGGCTACAGTCCATGATATTAAAAAAGAATTAGACATGACTGAGCACACACAGTAAGGACAATATCATCTAATCATATATATGTCAGTATTTTAGAAAGGTGTAAAATAATCAATTAACAAAGCCAGGATAAACCTCATAATTTGCTACTATGAGAACTTGACAACTAATTGTAACTCATTTTTAGTATAAATTACATGTTTATATACATTTACATAAACTTATAATTTATAAATTATATAAATTTACACAAATTAAATATTACATTTTCACATAGTTAGAAAATTATATAACATATATTAACACAACAAATAGAAGTCACATCAAATTAGAGAGTAAAAAGATGAGTTGAGTGAAAAAGCAAACTTTCTTAAATATTCCTGGGTTTCCTTGGACTCTGATATGACCTAAATATATATAGTTAAAGATCATATTATTATATAATAAGCAATTAAAAATATAAAGTATTATTAGGAATTGCATATGTGTCAAGATTAGATTAATATATTTTATTATGACTTACTCATAATAAATGTTATATTGGAAAACTTATCACTGTCAAATTCTATTGGTTATATAATGGTAAATATAGATAAATGTCTTTCTGCAAATGTAGCAGAATGGCATTTTGAAATTCTATTCAACTGTCTTTTCCCTTTCTTGGTTCTGTTTTACTCTGAGTTACCTCTATCATTAAAATAATACTGAGTTACTGCCCAGTAAAGGGAAAAAAAACTACAGAATATGAACAAATAGTCAAATAATTGGCTTTGACTTCCAAAATAAGCTTTAAAAATCCAAAGCTAGGTAAAGCCTTCTGTGAACTCTTGATTCATATAAATGTGGATTTGGAGGAAAGAAAAATGATCTAAAGATTCCAAGAATGCAAAGAACCAATATTTACAACACAGAGAAAAGGTAAATAATGAATATCAGAGGAATGTCATACGCAGATACATTCTTTGTTTTCTGAAAAAGATGAATAAAGGTCTCAGTGGATAGGCAGGGGGAGGAAAGCTAGAGACGTTTCTAGTCTATAGCGGCTGATGGAAGCTGAAAAGAAGTCCAACACACCCACCCATCTGTTCCGTTCAGTGAGATAGAGTTGGACCGCACATGAGTTTGATGGAAATCTGAGAGTAGAGAAGCCTCTATATTCCCAAGGGTAACCCATGAATGTTCAGACCTTGAAGAGAGGCTCCATATGACGGTGCCAAACCAGAAGAAGAGATATACACTGTGGGCTTGAAGGTAGCTTCAGAAAATTCTGACAACCTTGGTTTGGTGCAGATAAGGAATCAAGTTTTCCCTAAGGTGGGTGTGGCAGGCGGTATTTTTGAAAGACAACTCTAACAATTCCTTTTTTCCATGTGCTCTCTTTACTAAGTGACTTTAATGGTCCTACCACCAAGAGGAGGGGTTTGTGTTTCTTCCTGAATCTGGTGGGCTTACCAACAGGAAAAGTGACATTGCGTGGTTCCAGTGCTAAGTAATAAAAGGCAAACAACCTGTTTCTCTTGCATTTTTTTCTCCCCTAGAACCCAGCCATCCATGCTATAAGGAAGCCCAAGCAGCCAAGAGAAACGTCATGTAGGTGTTGGGTTGCACCTGAGGTTGCAACCAACAGCCAGCCTCACTGCTCAGACATGTGGATAAAGGAAAGACGCCTTCAGATGACTTGAGTCTCCAGACATCGTGTGTTCCAGATGAAGCCCAAAGTAGCTCAGAGAAGAAACGAGCTGTCCCCACTGGGCTTTTTCTGGATGCCTGCTCCTCAGAATCCAAGAATATGATAAAGTATTTCTTATGCCATAAAAGTGGTTTGTTATGAAGACTAGATAGCTAGAATGGTAGGGAGGGGAAACGGAAGAGTAGGTCTACGAGGCTCGTGTAGCAAAAGAAACTGCTCTTAAGAGAGATAAGTGTGGCGTCTAAGTGCCAAGATCCCATGCCCAGAAGGCACAGCAGAGTTCATAGTCATCAGGACCAGATGTCATGTTAGGTGATCCAATTAAATTGGCTAAATTCAATTGCATCTCAATAAGTGGGCTTCTCTGGTGGCTCAGTGGTGATGAATCTGCCTGCAATGCAGGAGACATGGGTTTGATCCCTGGGTCAGGAAGATCCCCTGGAGAAGGAAATGGCAACCCACTCCAGTATTCTTGCCTGGAGAATCCCATGGACAGAGGACCCTGGCAGGCTAGAGTCCATGGGTTTGCAAAAGAGTGGGACACGAGTTAGGGACTAAACAAGTGTTGCCAGAGACAAAAGATGATAATGGAGCATACATTTCTTCTTGAAGGCTATCACACTTGCATGGTTTCCTTGGAACTTAGAGAAACCATGGAAGAATGAAAGGGAAAGACAAAATGGACGAATCATGAATCAGCCAAGCTTCATCCTAAAATACCCAACATTTAAACCACATATTCAGATAAGGATGATTTAGATTTCCTCTGTCACTTCTGGATTATTTTAAGTGTAGTGAAAGAGAAAACAAGTCCTTTTTTACCTATCTTAAACATTTTACCTCTCTAAAATATTTATAAAAAATTCAAAGCGCTAGCTAAATACATTTTAGACATGTTTGTAGAAATAGACATTACTCTGAGCAGATAATATATGACATATATGTCATATTATATATATATATATGTATTATATGCCATCATATATCCCTTTATAAAGTTTTAAATTTTAACCAGAAACTAGCAAAAGTTGGCATCTTGAAACCAAATCTTCATGTCTTTGGTGGATTTCATATGAGCAGAAATTAACAGCTTTTTGATTCCACTTTTTAAAGTTTAGTTTGCATTAATTGTGGTAAAGTAAACATAAAATACAGTTTATTTTCTTAACTGATTTTAGCTGTGTAGTTCATAGTTTCTGTTTCCACTTTCAATGATTC